TAGGATTAATTTAGGGGTTTCATATATTGTGTTAGTTAGCTAATAGAGAGAAGTGTCCCCTCTTATCTCCGTGCTTTGTCGACGCTACTACTATACATATAGAGAGGACTCGACACGCTAGCTATTAAGCAAATGAAGGAAATCATTAAGTACACAAGATCGTCATGAACATATACAAAGAGAAGTGATCGACCTCTCTTTCTCCGAGAGATTGGTTGAACAACAAGTTTTCGTATATCTATCCGACACTACTTGCTACATATATACAATATAAGATCTCTTACAATCCCCCTAACATCTGATGTCAAGTTCCACATGGTATTCTCCGTCTTCATCTATGACGTGGTCAAGAAAGAATCCCGCCAATTCCTCTTGAATTGCTTTTATGCGATCTTATGGTAGGAGTTCATCCCGCAGCTGCCAAAGCTAATTTGAAGAAGGGGGTCAATACATATATATGAATGAAACTCAACACAAATGATGGTAATAAAATAAAATTGTGAATATTATTGCTTACGGACTTCATAATCTTCTTTAGAGTAGCCCCGCTTAGAGGTCGTCACGTTGTAGATGTACTCGCAAATGTAGTATCCACAAAAATTATTCCCGACGTCCTGCCACAACCACTTTAAGAGAAATGGAGATCAATCAAACTGATAATCAAGCACTATAAATGGTATTGATGAAACTAGCTAGAATCAATGGGAGATGCGCAGAACTAGCTAGTAGTACTTACTTTCGGGTGTGTAAATCGCATCTCCCTCGGTAGTCCCGGAGCTTCTGTGGTGAACACTTTCCAAACCCTGCGAGACAAAGAAAATAATTACTTGATATCAGGAAATGAACAAAGTTGCCGATATGGTGCGATAATGATCGATTGAACTTACTTCTGGATCATTTCAGTCATGGCCGCATACTCCTTGAGATCTTTTCATCTTGAGTCTAAGACGGTTACTAGTCCCTGCGCAAGCTTATCTCTAGGAGAATAAAGTGAAAGCTGCGCACGCATGCATAACTCATCAATTACATTACTATAACCTCGAGTAATAAGGGAAACCGAATATGCACAAGACAGTAACACTCACTTGAATTCGTAAGGAACGAGTATTTTATCTTTGTTTTGATTTTGAAGCAACGATTTTAGTAAGTTGGCCTCGGCTCCTTTGGCATCATGTTTAACCGTCCATTCATCTATGAGATGTGTGTTAATGAACCCAATATCATAGATTTGTCTTTTCTTGCATTCGACGATCTTCAATCTGCATAATATAGTGAGGATAATTATATATACATGCAATGAAAGAGCTGAGCTATATATAGAGACTTAATTACAGAAGTAGTACTTACAGACAGTAGCAAGTGATGATTATTTTATCGAGGGCCTTTTGATTGAAAAACTGGAAGAACTCCTCAAATGGAACAGACAACAGATCAATTCCAACGAGGTCGCGCTCCTCTTTAACTCTCAGCATCAAAATATCATTCACAGACTTGCAGGTGTCCATGTACCACTTATGGAATCTTCGCATCATCATTGTTAGATGAGGATGACCAGGTTTGACGAGAGGCTTCCCGTACCGGTATTTGTGTTCGTCCACCTCCATTGATTCAAAATAGGCATCGTCGGGTAGGTAATCACCAGGATTGGTACCGGGCAGCATCTCTGACGGATTTACGATGATATCACTAGACACCTTCAGCAGGGGGCACGATTGGTTCGCATGTTCGCCGAGCTGGGGAATTTTTTTCCCACTTCTTCGTTCTTGTAACCTTTTGTCACTTGAAGTAGTTCCCGACCGGCGCGCTTCTTCCACTGCCTTTTTAAGAGCGCGGACATGGTTGTCATCCGGCGGAGGCGGTGGTGGTCGCTTCAGGGCATCCAAAGTGCGCTGAACTTTCACCTTATCTATTTTCTCCTCCGGAGGTGGAGGTTTCCTTGCAAAAAAATCCTTCACATAGGCTTTACAGATGTCTGCATTTTCCTATTCGGTCATCTCGTATGGTAACTTCTCTAGAGGCTTGAGAGATGGACTGAATCTGTATTGTCTCCCTCCTTTGGTTGTACTGCTAGACGCCGGAGCAGGCGGAGCGGCTGCGGCTATCTTCTTTTGTTGCTTACGAGGCGGAGAAGGAGGCGGAGTGCTACGACGCGCCGGAGCAGCCGGAGCGGTGGCGGCTCTCTTCCGCCCTTGTTGACAAGGCGGAGGAGGAGGCGGGCTGCTCGAACGTGCCAGCGTAGGCGGAGAAGGAGGCGGAGTACCGCCACGCGCCTGAGCAGCCGGAGAAGGAGGCGGAGTGCCCTGATCACTCGCCGGAGGAGGAGGCGGAGTGCCCTGACTCGACGGAGGAGGAGGAGGAGGCGGAGGCGTCCAGTTCGGAAGGTTGATGAGCTCCTTTCGCCATAGACATGGAGTCTTCAGAGCAGAACCCAGCCGAGTCTCCCCTTCACCGGTAGGGTGGTCAAGCTCGAGCTCCTCAAATCCCTCCGTTATTTCATCCACCATCATAGCAG